GTTCTACTCAAGTCTCTAACTCAATCACCATATATGGTCACAAACACCATATGTTCTACTCAAGTCTCTAACCCAATCACCATATATGGTCACAAACACCATTATTCATACCTTGGTTCACAAGAGAGTTATAATTTATTCATAGCGAATCATTCGACCCTCTCGCAAGGTTTCTGTTTTTAATTCCATGAGGTTGTCAATCTATTTACTGTTTCAATCTAATCTCAGTAATACAAGTGTTTAACTTGCTCCTGTTTGGATGCACCTCACATCAGCTAAACACTCCTCCTTTGTAGTTTTGAGAAAGAGAGGATGATGCACTCTTGCTATGATCCTTGTTCAGATCATTAATTGGACATTTACTATGAGAAGAAAACTCAAAATCTTGCTTGCTCTGTTTTCAAGTATCAAATAAAACACTGTTGAATTTTTTACTCCAGTGAGAAAAATGGTTGTCGAGTTGCCTTGCTCTTCCTCCATGAGTTGGCTTTTCTATTTTCTCACAGGCTTCAAATTTTTCTTTTTTGAATAATTGGTTTTGCCCACTTTCTCAATGTTGAAGCAGGAACCCTCAAAGGCATCTCCTACTGATAGTGCTCAATCACCGGAAGTCACATCAAAAACTATAACTACGGATGAAGATGTCAATGATAGGATTAAGAGTTTGACAGACAAGTTATCAGCTGCTCTTGTGAATGTTAGTGCCAAAGATGACTTGGTAAAGCAGCATGTAAAAGTCGCTGAAGAAGCTGTTGCAGGTATTTAGTTAGATACTAATGTACAGACTCAATTTCTACTACTTTCTTGTTATATTTTTAAAACAAACCATGTATACAATACACCATTTTTATATATTCCCTGATTGTTTTAAGACGGCGCATATCCTGAACTAATTGCAAGATCTGTGGATTATTCTGTGTTCTTTTATTATAAAGGAGTTCTCTCCACAATGTCATATATAGGAGTTCATTTAAATTCAAATTTCTGATGATATTTTTTGGAACGAAGCATAGCAAATCTTGCTTTATCCTCTACTAATGTACTCAATGAATTTATAGGCTGGGAAAAGGCTGAGAATGAAGTAACAGCTCTCAAGAAACAACTTGAAGTTGCAATTCAGCAGAAAGCTGGATTGGAAGATCGGGTGAGCCACCTTGATGGGGCCCTCAAGGAATGTGTTAGGCAGCTGAGGCAAGCAAGAGAAGAGCTGGAAGAAAAGATCCATGAAGCTGTGGTACAGAAAAGTCTCGAGTGGGAATCCATTAAATCTGAACTTGAGAACCAGTTTATTGAGCTCAAGACAAAAGAACCTGCTACCAAGTCTGAATCCCCCGCTCCGATTGTTGATGAACTGTGCCAGAAGCTTGAATATTTGGAGCAAGAGAATGCAACCCTGAAACTCGAGCTCCTTTCCCAGTCTGAAGAGTTAGAAATCAGAACAATTGAAAGGGACTTGAGCACTCAAGCAGCTGAGGCAGCCAGCAAACAACATTTGGAGAGCATAAAGAAAGTGGCCAAGCTTGAAGCTGAGTGCCGGAGGCTAAAAGCAGCAGCATGTAAACCATCCTCTGTTAATGATCACAAGACTTCTGCTGCGTCCTCAATTTATGTTGAGTCTCTCCCTGACAGTCAATCAGACAGCGGGGAGAAGCTTAATGCTGTGGAGCTGGATGCTCGTAAAGTTAGTTGCTCGGACCCATACAAGTCTGAACAAAATTGCTTAGACTCGTGGGCATCTACATTAATTTCAGAGCTTAATCAATTCAAGAATGAAAAATCTATCAATAGAAATCTCCCAGCCTCTTCTGTCGAAATTGATCTCATGGATGATTTTCTTGAAATGGAACAACTTGCTGCCTTGTCCGAGAATGAAACTGGAACTGATTATTCTAAAGCGGAAGCTGTTATCAAACAATCAGTTGATGCTGAAAGCTTATTGAGAGCTGAGCTTGAAGTCATGGCAAAACGAACTGCTGAATTGGAAGAGAAGTTACAGAAGGTGGAAGGAGAAAAGTTTGAATTGGAAGAGAAGTTACAGAAGGTTGAAGGAGAAAAGTTTGAATTGGAAGAGAAGTTAGAGAGGATTAAAGCAGAGATGGATGAGTTGGAGATGGCTCTAAATGAAAGTCAGGACAGGAATGAAGCATCACAACTTCAGCTGAGCGAGGCCCAACAGAAGTTGGTGGAGTTGCAAGAGGAGCTATTGTTGACAAATGAATCAAAGCAGCAAATTGAGTTTCAACTCGTTAGCATGGAAGCAGAGGCTCGGACCATGTCTGCAAAAGTTAACTCAATTCAAGGAGAGATTGACAAGGAGAGGGTTCTGTCAGCAGAAATCGCACTCAAGTATCACGAACTCGAGGAGGAGCTCTCAAGAAAGAAACAGGAAGAAGAGCACCAGCAAAATGTAAGCTCAAGTGGTGAACCAAAGATAAAGCAGGTCAATAAGCAATATCATCTGCATTATTTTTTCATTAACCTCTATCATGCAGCTATCTACATTGTAGATAGACACGTTTTGTGTCCCAATTATACTAACTGTTAGACTTGTGTGTAGCAGGAGGACTTTGATGTAGCTGCTAATAAACTTGCTGAATGCCAGAAAACAATAGCATCTCTAGGGAATCAGCTGAAATCTCTGGCAACTCTAAAGGACTTCTTGATTGACACTGCAAGCATACCAGAGTTCTCTACTGAAGGATCAGCAATTCCTAAAGGTAATGGAGAACCATGGAAGTTACACTCCAATGAAACATTTTCACCTAAGAGAGATTCCGGTTCTTTGAGAATTGACTTTGAGAATTCTGGCCCTGCAGTAAATATAAACGAAGGAGACTCACCCCCATCCGTATCATCGTCAGCTTCATCTGCCGTGTCATCAAATCACGTCAGTTCTGAGAAGAACCGAAATGGTTTTGCAAAATTTTTCTCTCGAAGTAAGAATGGGATACAGCTAGAAATTTAGCAACGGTTCAAGTAGTCGGAAATTATAAAAACGGAAAGGTAGATTGATGATTTGTTATTTGTGAAATGGGGAATTGGTTGAATGCTGATTAAATGCTGTTTAATCAGCGGTACTAAATTAGATGGATTTCATTATACATGAATGGTCTCAGAATATTAAATCCAAGCAAAGTTTTAAATTTAGACCGCTTGGATTTTGTGTTCATACTATGCAGCGAAAATGCTCCTGTCAGTCTAGCTTCAAGATTGGTAATTTGAATTCCTGGCATCAACTCTATTATTGCTAGATGGTTCAACTTCCTAAAGTCATTGTAGCCAAAGAAGTCATGCTTTCCAGCATTTGGTTTGGCTATGAAAATGAATAAAGAATTTGACTGAGGAGCTCTGGGTGTCTGCTCAAACTGCATTGGACAGGGGTAGGAAAGATGGTCACAGCTCACGAAGTGGAGTTCTTATATATATATATATATACATACATATTTCGCCAAGCTATAACAAATTATTTTTTAAAATAATATTTATTTAAAAATATATTAAAATAATATATTATTATTATTTTTTAAAATTTCCTTTTGTTATTACCATATCAAAACAATTCAAAAATATAAAAAAATAAATTGAACCTAAAAAATTAAAAAAATTCAAAAATATAGGTTAATTGAATGTGAAATAGAATTTAAAAACTGCTAAGAATCGTCACGTGAAACATCAACAGTGTCATGTTTTGAATATATAAGGATATAAAAGGGCTAGAAAGATTTTAAAGGCTTAGATGTAGGAATAAATTAAATGAAGGGTATAGTAGTAATTGATTAAATATATGATAAATATAAATAAGAAGTTAAAAAAAAAACAATAAAAGAGGGATTTGAAAATTTAAGAGAGAATCTGCAAGAGAGAAAAGGAAGAAAAAAAAAAGAAAAAAAAGAGAAATTAAAAGGAAAATATAAAGAAGTTATGGTTTTATTTGAATGGTGAATTTATGTTAAAAATTAAGGGATAAGAGTAGGTAATCTGTGAAAATTCTGGGTTTGAAGTTGAAAATGGTAAAAATGCAATTTGGTCCCTCAATGTTTAAAAAGTACAGTTTAGTCCTTAAATATTAGAAAATTTGCAGATTAATCCCTGGAACCTATTCTAAGATTCTGGACAGGAATTCTGCCTACTTTTCAGAATCTCAGATCAATCTGTAAATTTTAAAAATATCCTCTTCCCGCTAAGAATCATAAGTGAAACATAATAGTGTCATATTTTGAATATATAAGGATATAAAAAGGCTAGAAAGCTCTTGAAGGTTTAGATGTAGGAATAAATTAAATAAGGAGTATAGCAGTAATTGATTAAATATATGATAAATATAAATAAAAAGTTAAAAAAAAAAAAACAACAAAAGAGGGATTTGGAAATTTAAGAGAGAATCCGCAAGAGAGAGAAGGGAGAAAAAAAAAAAAAAAAAAAAGGGGGAATTAAAAAGGAAAATGTAAAGAAGTTATGATTTTATTTGAATGTTGAATTTATTTTAAAAATCAAGGGATAAGAGTAGGTAATGTGAAAATTCTGAATTTCAAGTTAAAGATAGTGAAAATTCAATTTGGTCCCTCAATGTTGAAAAATTATAGTTTAATCTTTAAATATTAGAAAATTTACAGATTAATCCCTATAACCTATTCTAAGATTCTGGACAGTAATTCTACTTATAATTTATCTTTTATTCTATTCCGAATCTCGCATTCAGAATCTCGCATGAATCTGTAAATTTTAAAAATATCCTCTTCTCTCATGCAAGATATCCTCTTCTCCAGAAACCTAGCTGGCAAGATATGAAGCAGAAAGCCCCGCGATTGCAAGAACCAAAATATCCTCTTCTCTCAGACAAGACCAAGCATGTGGTAGCAGGAGTTTCCACGTGTTAGACCACGGAGTCCACGTTTTTCCACGTGGCAAACCATGGGAGGCCAGCGGAGATCGCTCGTAGCGCAGCCTCTTATCAACAAATAAAACTGATTTTCCGTTTTCGCTCGCTCTCTCTCTCTCTCTCTCGGCTTTGTTTGCAGAGTTTCAAACGCCATGACCGCCTTTGCTACTGCTGCTGCTCTCTCTTTACCCAACTCTCTATTCCGATAATCTAAGCTCAACTGTAAGAAGGTAACCTTTTGCCTTTATTTACTTGCTAAGTTTATCTGGGTTCTTGCTAAATTTAGTGGAAGGGATAGCTATAATTGCTGATTCCTAACTACCTTTTCTTTTAAGTATATATCTCTGCTGAGGGATTGGAAATGGCTTTTAATTCATTAAAATACTATTATGCTATCCGCTTAACTTGATAGAAAAATGGTTTGATGTTAAGATAGTGGACTTTTTGGTATGTTTAACTGCTGAAGTTACCCGGGCTCTAGTCTACTACATTTAGAGGAAAGTTACTTGAGTTAATTGAATTATCAATGGTGCTTGTGCTTAACCTCACAATACGTGTTTTTCCGATATTTGTTTCCCGCTAAACTAATCTTGGTATATGGAAATCCGAGGGAAACTTTATGTGACTGGTTTAGTTCCAAGTAAGATAGTGACCATAGTCAACTCTGTACGCTGACATTTGTTGACCGATCCTGTTTGTGTTTATTCTGTTTATTGGTTTAGTTCTAAGTTAGATAGTGATCATGGTTTCCTGCTAAGGCTATTTTAAACTTTTATGGCTTAAATGGTGGTCTGTGTGTGAATTCTCAGGGTGTTAGAGGAGGGTTTGGGGTGTTTGCAGTGTTAGGGGAGGAAGGTGGGTTGTTAGATAAGAAGAGTACATGGGGTCCACTCTTCGACGTGGAGGATCCGAGGTCTAAGATGCCACAGTTTAAAGGGAAGTTCTTGGATTTTTATCAAGCACTTGAAGTGGCGAGATATGATATTCAGTACTGTGATTGGCGAGCTCGGCAAGATCTTCTTACTATCATGATCCTTCATGAAAAGGTCTGTTGAAATTCATTGCATAAATTTACACCGAGATTATTGTTTTAACAAGGCAACTTTCAACTCTCATCTTGAGAAATATGGTTGCAGGTTGTTGAAGTTCTAAATCCCTTAGCTCGTGATTACAAGTCTATTGGTACCATGAAGAAGGAGCTTGCGGAGTTGCAAGATGAGTTAGCCCAAGCTCACAGACAGGTTTGGAAATTATCCTCTATAACTACCTATGGAAAATGCACACCTGTTGAGACACAAATAACCACTCATTGATTACATGCATTCACTAGATCAGGATCCATTATGTAGATCAAGTGAGACACATATTCATCAAAGTGCCATCAAGCAAACTCTTCCACTTTTACCATTAAACTGTTGAGATGGTCTAGAGGTTTACCATTTTCATTAACTTGCTAATGCCTGGCCCTTGACTGATAACAGGTTCATATATCTGAAGCAAGGGTTGCTACTGCTTTGGATAAACTAGCTTACATGGAAGAATTGGTTAATGATAGGCTGTTACAAGATAGAAAGCAAGCAGAGCCTGACCAAGAATCCCCTTCTCCCAGCACTTCGACTCAATCTCTGGATACTGTAAAACACAAGTCGCCCCAGAAAAACTTGAACGTATCAGGTCCAGTTCAACCTTACCATCCTCGCCTTAAGAATTTCTGGTATCCTGTTGCTTTCTCCACTGATCTGAAGGATGACACAATGGTAAGCTACTCTTTTCAATTGTGATTCACTCAGTATGTTTTGAATATAGAGGGATAGAAAAAGGCTAGAAAGCCCTTAAAAACGTAGGAATAAATTAAATGAGAGGTATAGTAGTAATTGACTAAATACATGATAAATATAAATAAGGAGTTAAAAAAAAAACAACAACAAAAGAGGGATTTGAAAATTTGAGATAGAATCGGCAGGAGAGAGAAGGGAGAAAGAAGAAGAAGAAAAAAAAAAGAAAAAACCGGCAGGAGAGAAAGGGAGGAAGAAGAAGAGAAAAAAAAGAAATTAAAAGGGAAATAGAAAGGAATTAAAGGAAATAAGTTTAAAGATAAGATTATGTATAAATATATGTTAGTTAAGTTTTAATTTCAGTTTTGATAAATGTTAGGGTTTTGAAAATTTGTGTTTTGGGTTAATTGATGAATTAAGTTGCATGTTATGAGTTGATTATTGTGGGTAATAGATTGTTAAGTTGAATTTGAGAGATTGTAGATAAAAATGCTGATTTTGAGTTATGATTTTTATTTGAATGGTGAATTTGTGTTAGAAATCAGGGGATAACACTAGGTAATCTGTGAAAATTCTGGGTTTGAAGTTGAAGATGATGAAAATTCAATTTGGTCCTTCAATTTTGGAAAATTAAAGTTTAGTCCCCAAACATTAGAAAATTTGCAGATTGGTCCCTGGAGCCTATTCCGAGATTCTGAACAGGAATTCTGCCCATAATTTATCCTTTTTTCTGTTCAGAATCTCGAAATAGGCTCCTGGGACCAATCTGTAAATTTTCCAAAGTTTGGGGACTAAACTATAATTTTCCAAAATTGAGGGACCAAATTGAATTTTCATCATCTTCAACCTCCAA